AAATTATACAATCAAGCGAATTGGGTAAAGTATAGTCGTGATCTTCGCATTCATCTATCTCCCAGCTTTCATATTCAACCAATTCATCCAATTTCTGTTTCAACTTTTCAATGATTTCCGACGTTCTCGATTCATGTCGACCATAAATTTTTATTAGATCATTAATGGAAACTAAAATTTCAGGAAATTTACTTTCTGTAACTATACAATTCCCGTATATCGGAGGCTTGATGGCACTGTACACTGAGAGCAATTTGTACAGTTGCAGAAATGTTGAACAAGTAGGGTGGTCATTACACCCTGCAGCCTGACGAATTGTGCCAAAAAATTTCTACAATAATATTATATAATATTCACAAAGATGGAGTAAAAAAGGATAAAACGGGGAATAAATAAAGTGACAGACGACGAAAGGAATGACTACAACAATAAAACACCTCTAGATTGTCTTGGTTGACTTTGCCAGTTAGTAGATACTGAAATTCGTATTTATCTATGAGATATTTGCATAGATCCATCGTCGACTGGAGGGATAGTCTTAGTCCGTCGGCTGTTTCCGAGGTGAGAAACTCATTTTTCGTTATTTCGCCCTTGATCTTCGCACGATCCCAATCGTTCAACCATTCCAGAGATGATTGTATAATCTTCAACATATGTATATGAACAAATCCAATCAGATGTCAAATACAATCATAATGCGAGATAAAAAAAACATGTAACGTTGGAATTTTTGGGCTACGGATAGCTTTGAGATTCCAAGGTTCGGTCGGTGGGCTGGTCGAAGAGTGAAGGATGAGACTTATAATTTCAGTAAAGACTAGTTTATTCTAATTCTATGTGCTTACAACTATCTCTTAAAACTATCGCTCGCAATACTTAATACTAATCGCTTAACAATATAAGTCCGCTTCGGCGGCGATCTTTTGTAGTTAAATTGCTGGCGCGCGGCGCTGCTGATAATTCACGACGGTGATTCGCGGATCGGAATACGGGTCTGTTCGGTCTCGGCGGCGCGTGTGCGGTCCGTTCGGTATCGGTGCTCGGCGGCGCGGGCGCGGTACGCTCGGTTCGTTCGCACGGTTAGCGCAGGCGCGGTTCGGCGGTCGCGACGCGTGTCGTGGCTGCCGGTGACAGCTCGCGACGTGTGTGCATGGAACGGGAGGTTAGGTCGGTGTGTTATCGGTGCCGCTCAGTTCGCGGATTATTTCATCGGTTAGTGCTCATCACGCATCTAGCCGTGGTGGAGTCAGCACTCAACTCGTGCTTCGGACGAGAGGAAGCGGTCGCTCAATACGCGACCTGGGGTAGGCACTCAACTCGTGCCGTGCTAGGTTAGGTGATTCCGCTCAGTGCGCGGTTCGGGGTTACCGGGTCCGGCTCAGTACGCCTTCTCAGGGGAGACGACCTGCTCAGTTCGCTGGTCGGAGGATTCTGATTCTCCTGGTTCGCTCGGGCTCTTTTATACCCTCAGTTCGTGGGCGCGGGGGTTAGAAACGAGACAGGGGAAGAGCGCAGGGTGGGGAGTAACGTTGCTCTCTTTGTTGTCACGTCACAAACATAACAAGATAATCCGAACAATAATTCATACCTTGAAATCTTCGATATCTGGAGTAACGCCTTGATTCGGCATTTTGCGATTCAGTGCGTCGAAACGATCGTTGATGCGCTTGCAAAATTTAATAATGTCTTCACAGCCACTAAAATCCTGACATTTCTGTGACAAATAGAATCGCAGGCCATCAGCAACAGAATTGCTGAATATCTACGGAAATATGTAAATAAAGAGTTTATATTACATTTATAATACATTTATAAAGTTTATATGAATTCATTATTTGAAAATTGCATATTTACCTGAGTTGCAAGTCGAACACGCATTTTGCTACTATAATCAGGATTTATATGCCTTCTAGACAATTTTGGACACACCCTCATATTGCCCAAATATTTTGTGTCTGTGGTGTACAGATTCTCAAAATATTTCCACTCAATGTAACCTTCGTTTCCATTTACCTTTAACCATATTTTTAAAATAATTTTTCATTTCTAACAGGTACTTCATATAGGTGTATTACATGTTTATGAGAAAAATGAGAAGTTTATTATTATGAGTGCCATACCCGCAGTTTCTTTTTATTGTAGAGACAGTTTCGAATATTTTTTATTAGATGGGGGACATCTGAGAAAACGAATACACGTCTCTCATTGTCCAAAGGATGTGTAAACCATGTTTTCGTATTTTGTAGGCTTCTATTGATTCCGAGAATTGTACCCATCTTTGTATTCGTACGTGCACCATCTCCTATAATCCCGTGGATCCGAGCACCGGATATCTCTAAGAGCGTAATGGCCTTCACTGCCAACTTAGCTAATTGTTCGCCATCAACAGAATTCTTTGATGCAAAAACTGCTATTGGTTGTGTAAATGTATCGGCAAGAGGTTGAAATAAAAATACGAGACCATGAGTTGCTCCATCGTTTATATCCGTAGCTGTTGGTCCATCATCACCGAAATCCATCAAGCCGGTATACGTAAGGTCTTTCGATGAGACAGCGATTGATTTTCGCACTTGAATTTCATCGAGAACCAGTAAGCCATGACGCTGCAGCTGCTTCTTTGATTGAAAATGTAATTTAAGTAGCTCCAAAAACTTTGTGTCAAAACCACATTTTGAATCTATTAATGAGAAATAGTTGCGAACAGTTCTTGCACATGGTAGAGGGATAATACAATTCTTCCTCAAAAATTCATAATACGTTGGAGGTCGAATATTCATGAGCATGCATAGCATAAGCCAGTCTTTTGTATATCGTTGACCCCGTCCATCTTTCTTTCTTGAGGCTGCGAGTATTTCTCGCAATGCTGTTTTCTGGACCTCAGGAATGTTGGACGCCAAACATTGCTCTTCAAATAATTGATCTTTTATCGCAGCAAATTCATTTTGCTTCTGTTTTAAAGATTCCAAGAGTATTTGGATTCTTATTCTTTTACGATTTTTCAGGCGTCTTTGGGTATTAATCTTCCTTCGCATAATGCTTAATTTCTTCTGATCGTACGGATTAGATAAACGGGTTAAACGTTTACACTTTTCTCGTTTTCCATATCGATATTGTTTTTGGGACAATGTCTTCCTCAGTCGTACACAAAACTACATCTCTTTTCTTTCTCAACTAATAAGCAGTTTGTTGATCGGTACATATCCATGTTGTCTTTGCATATAAAGACAAAATTGGCGAGATGAATATTAACGTTTCCTAATCCATCACATATACGCGCAGTTGCAAATTCCGTAACGACAGTTACTAGTGCTTTCACATCATTCAATATCTGCAGAAAATTTTGCTGCTTAACGAGCTGCCCATGTACGTAGTATCTAATCAATCTTTCACTATCTATCACGATACTTTTCTTGATGACAGGTGTGTCATTGTTATTTCTACAAGTCGTGATTTGTGAAAAAATTAATTTGCAATTATTTTCTGCAAATGATTGGACGATGGTCCATGGTTTTGGCACGTTTATTGTATGCGATTCATTTTTAGTCTGAATTTGGATTTCGGTCTCTGTTTGGGAAATTTCCTCCCTTTCGAATCTCGTCATGAGATCGAAAGATCGCGAAATCTCCGTGAGCGCTGCGAGTGGATCGGGGGGTGAGAAAGGACGTGCAACGTGGCGAGAATGACTACGATTCCGGTTCTTCAAATGAGTTAACTGTTTAATTGTATGTACACTATATACAGTTGAGCGTTACCGAGGCGTATGATTGAGGTGAGCGAGTCCGTCGAGCTCTCTTGTTCGCACAAGACCGTCGGGGATGTGCCGCCCGTTGAGCCGGTGGCCGGCTACAAGCGAGCGTGCACGTACAAAATGAGAGGCCTTTGCGCAGAACACCGATGCACTCGACTTGAGCACTTAACCAATGAGTCTGTCCAGGGGTGAGCACTAATTGTCAATGTGAGCTAACAAACACTGAGATCGCACTTGTTCCTGTGAGCGCGAGCGCGATACTTTTTGTCTGCCGATGCGAACTTTACCACAGCTTACAGCGGCTGCTTTCACATGACTACTGAGCTCTGTGAGCTTGCGCGCAAGCCCTCGAGCCATGTTCACGGGCCCGTCACGTGCTCGTTACCCGGCCGCGCGGTCGCGCGCGCGATACCACTGGGCCTTGCGAATAACCGTGAGATGGCGAGGGCAGTACAACTGAGATCACTGGAGGAAAAACATTTCCGCCCGCCATCAGCAATGAGGTTGATGATGAGTCCACTCCTACGGATGTTGAGCTTGATGAGCAATGGGCAGCGGTGCCAGCTTGGTGATTGGTCTGATGAGTGTCGTTGTGGGTGTCTTCAGGGTCACTACGCGGGTGAGTCCATCCTTGGCTGGCATCAGGGTGGAGACTCTGGCTAATGGCCACTTACATGGCGGGAGCCTCTCGTCGGTGATGAGAACCAATGAGCCCACTTGTATGGCGTTGGATGGGTGATGCCACTTCGAGATTGCTTGTTGTCGTTGCAGATATTGAGCTGACCATTGAGACCAAAATTGCTGTACTCGCTGTTGTATGAATTGCCATCGGGATAACCTTGAGGTGGCCAAGTCCTTCAGTGACGGCTCAGGTACTGATGTGAGAGCACTTCCGATGAGAAAATGTCCTGGGGTGAGCGCTGAGATGTCATCTGAGTCGTCGCTGAGTGGTTCGAGAGGTCGTGAGTTCAAGATCGCTTCAATCTGAGCAAGCAGGGTTGTCGTTTCTTCGAATGTGAGCAACGTCTCTCCTATGGTACGACGCAAGTGGTGTTTGAGTGATTTTACCACTGCTTCCCATTTGCCACCCATGTGTGGAGCAGCTGGTGGATTAAAAATCCATTGAGTGCGATCTTGAGCAAGCAGAGATGAGATGCGCCGGTTATCTTGAGAACTTTCTGTGAACAATGTCTGGAGTGATTTCTCTGCTCCGACAAAGTTTGTGCCACAGTCAGAGTACAGTGAATGAGGGATGCCTCTTCTTGAGACAAATCTTCTGTACGTTGAGATGAATCCGTCCGTTGAGTAGTCTGAAACAACTTCTAAATGAACTGCAGATGTGGTGAGACAGACAAACACACAAATCCATCCTTTATGAGTTTTGGCTCCTCTTCCCTTCCATGTTTTGAGTGTGAGCGGTCCAGCATAATCGATCCAGTATGCGTGAATGCGCGTGAGGGTGTGACCCGAGGCAGAGGTAGTTGGCCCATCAGTTGATGGGCACGAATCCCCCTTTGTCGAGCACACACCACACACCGCAAGATATGAGATTTTACTGGAGCACGTCCACCGATGATCCAATATGATTGCCTGATATGCGCCAAGGTGAGTTGCGTTCCTCCATGTAGTGTCCGTTGGTGGGACCAGCTGATGATTAATTCAGACAATTTCGAATGGCGAGGGAGTATTGCAGGGTGTTTGCCTTCATAATTGAGGGTGGAATTCTTGAGTCGTCCTCCCACACGAGCAACTCCTTGATGATCAATAAATGCTGTGAGACGACTGAATGGATGAGAAGTTGCTAGACGTGATTGTGAGTTGAGCATCTTCAGCACATGTGCAAAAAATGTTGATTGTGTAACCTTGATCCAGAAGATCTTAGCTTGCTCTAAGTCAGCGACTGAGATGTGTGAGGCTTGAGGGCCATCGTGTCGATTTCTCAATCGTCGAATAAATACCTGACAGAGAGCTGTGATTCTGAGCAGTCGATTGAGCGATGAATACTTATAGATGAAATCCCAGTCGTAATCCACCTTTATGTTAGTTATGAAGAGTGACACTCCTGGGCGTGATTCTGTTGTACACTGCTCGTCCGAGCACGTTGGCTGAGCGGGCCAGCGATCTTTCGGTTGAGCCAACCATGGTGGTCCTGCCCACCACAAGGTGTGATCTTCAAGTTGAGCTGTTGTTACACCACGAGATGCACAGTCAGCAGGATTGATTGTACCTGGAACAAATTTCCAATGAGCATGTGTCGTGAGTTCTTGGATTTGTGATACCCTGTTGCGCACATAATCCTTCCATCGAGATGAGTGTTTTGATCCATGTGAGCGTCACTTGAGAGTCCGTCCATAGATATGTTTCCTTGATGTCCATCTTGAGTGTGGCATGGACATATTTCACCAATTTTGAAAGAAGCAGCGCTGCTGTGAGTTCTAGCCTTGGGATAGTGAGCCTCTTCAATGGAGATACCTTTGTTCTTGAGCATATGAGAGAAGTTTTGGCGCCCTTGGACGGCGTGTGCACGACCATGTATACGACTGCAGCCATGGCAAATTGAGATGCATCAGAAAAGCCATGTAATTCAACCGTTGAGCCACTGCTTGTGTTAAACCAGCGTGGAATTGAGAGCCTGGCCAGGCTTGTGAGATCCTTTCTGATGTTGAGTCACTGTGAGACAACTTGAGATGGTAACGGTTCATCCCAGTTGATCTTGTGGAGCCAGAGTTCTTGAAGAAGCATCTTGGCTCTTATTACGATTGGTGAGACAAAACCAAGTGGATCAAATATCTGTGCCACTTCAGATAGTACACGTCGCTTGGTGAACTGTTCTTGGTGAGAAATTGAGCTTGTTGAGAATGTAAAAACATCTTCTTGAGGCAGCCACTTTAATCCGAGGATTTTGGTTGCGCAATCGTCAAGTGAGACTGGTGAGTTGATCGAGCCTGTCAATGAGATGGCGTTTAACAATTCTGGATGATTGGAGTGCCATTTGGCAAGAGAAAATCCGCCCGCCTGGCAGAGATCTTCTAATTGATGGGCAATTTCTATGAGCTGTTCTCCTGTGTCACCACCACCAAAAATATCATCCACGTACCTCCCACGAGTGATTGATGGCACTGCCAGTGGAAATCGATGGCCTTCATCTTCGGCCAGTTGCATGAGTGTCCTTACTGCGAGAAATGGAGCAGCCTTCGTTCCATAAGTGACCGTGGTGAGATGATATGATGTTTCATTGTGATGTTCGTCGATCCACAGAATGCGCTGCAGATCCCAGTCTGAGTGGTGTACCTTGATTTGTCGATACATCTTTGTTATGTCTGTGGCAAAGATGTACCTGTAACTACGAATCCACAAGAGAACGTCTGAAACATTGAGCAATAGATTTGCACCAGTGTGCATGAGATCGTTTACAGATAATCCTGATGAGGTCGGACTTGAGCCATTAAAGACAACCCGCAGTTTTGTTGTTGTACTGTCGGGTTTGAGCACACCATGGTGAGGCAAATACAATAATATGGCGGAACATCGGATGATGGTTGTGATCCAACTTTCACCATGTGCTTGAGTTGTTCATACTCGTTCATGAATTTGGTGTAGAGGCTCTGATATTCCTTACCCTTGTTGAGTCGTCTGAGAATGCGCTGGAGACAATGGTGAGCAGTACTATGTGAATTCCCTAAGAAACTGGTTGGAAGCTTGAGCGGGATGCGTACAATGTATCGTCCCGTTGGATCTCTAGAGTGTGTGGCCTTGTAATGATCTTCACATTGTTGTTCTTCCAAGGTAAGCTGGTCGGTTGCATCAGTTGGTAGCTCTTCTTGCACCCAGAACCTTGTCAGCAATTCTTGAAGATCGAGATCGTACTGTTTAACCTTGATGTGATGCGCAGTCGACATCTGTAGTGGTGACAAGCTGACTGGACTAAGCACTAGCCAACCAAATATTGAGAGTTGAGCGATGGGCATGTCAGGAGATCGTTTAATGATGTTAGGCTTGATAATCTGCCCGTATGCATCAGCTCCAATGATGATGTCGATTGAGCGTGGCGTGAGGAACTGTGGGTCTGTCAATGTCAGAGGTTCTATGTGTGGCCACGTTTGTTGAGGTGCTGTAAAAGATGGTAGAATGGTCGTTAGTGTTTTGAGGACGTGGGCTTGAATAATGGCAGTGTGCTTAGAATGATAGGAGTGAAGCGTGAGGGTCACCACGCCCTTGGTCGTTTTCCTGGCTCCAATGCCAATGATTGAGACAGTTGCGTGTCGACGTTGTATGTTGAGTTGTCTGTCGAGATCTTTTTTTTGT